ATTCATTCCACAGATACTGAGTGGGATACAACAATAAACAAAACAGATTAAAAAAAAATACCTGCTTTCATGGAGCTTACTTTCTAGTGGAGAAAGAAACCCAACAGGATGTGTTTCATGAACAAACTCTATGTTGACTGATTTGATCAAAAGCTTATTTGATAACATCAAAACTATATAGTACAGATTTTCATATTTATAGAAATCATTTCTGAATAACAGAGCACTTTATATTGAAGGACCTCCACTTAGCCTGCAGCTAAAACTAATTAAATGCTTACCATTTATTTTGCAAGATATCATTTAATCATCAGACCAATTTTATATGATTATTATTATTCCCATTTTCCAGAAGAAGAAACCAACACTTGACTAATTTGTCCAAGAGCACATAGTGGCAGAGACAGAATTCTTAACTACTAACCAACTAGTCACATTATTCATTCGACAAACATTTACTGAGGGCCTCTAGTGAAGAGGAACGAGGGTAAGCTCTGGAGATATATGATCCCTGCCCTCACCTCGCTTACATTTTAGCAGAGGAGACCAAAAATAAATAAGCAAACAAACAAACACACAAATCAGATTAAGTGCAAGGAGAAAACAAACAAGGGGAAGTTATAAAGAAAAGGATGGTCAAAGAAGACCTCTCTGAGGAAGGAGGCCACATTTGCTCAGGATAAGCAAAGAACTAGCTATGAACAAAATGAAGGAAGAACGAACATTCCAGGAAACGGAACTGGCAAAGCTCTCAGCAGGAATAACCTCAGCACCGAACCAAGAACTGAAAGGAGGTCAGTGTAGTAAGAACAAGGTCAGTGAGGGCAAGTATGCCCCTTCTCTGTCCCCAGGGTCTCATCTCATTACCAGAGGTCAAATCACACTGCACCTCATAGGCAGGGGAACCATAATTTATTGTCCAAACTGGATCATTTTTGACAGTGAAAGGGAGCTCTATTAATAATACGCCAAGACAATAACCAGAACGGTCAAAAGCAGACTGGGACATACGGCCATCCTACTTATAGGCCTTGGTAAGTAGTTTGATTTTCATTCTTGATGCAATGGAAATCATTTAGAGTTTTAAGCAGGGGAGTGACATGATCTAATACTATTTTAAGAAAATCACTTTTCATACTTAAAAGAAAAAAAAATCATATAAGGAACATACTGGAGGGAGGCAAGAATGGAAATAGGAAGCCCAGCTAAGAAGCTGGTACAGGTGTCTGAGTAAGAGATGATATTCTGGACTAGGCTGGTGGCAGTAAAGCAGAAAGAGAATCAGCAATTTTGCTGATAGTTTAGCTGGAGAGTGAGTGAGAGGGAGAAATGAACAAATGCTTGCTTTCTGGCTTTGGCAGCTAGGATGGCACTACCATTCTGAAAAGGGAAAGGCTGTCTTTTAGGAATCTCCTTTCTTGTTGGACTCAATAGGGTACTGACTTAGAGATAATGTGCATATTGGACCCTTTTTCAAATCTAGGTCAAAGTCCAGGAGCTCAGGGTAGATACTGCAGAGCATATAACACACAAAACATTAATTGTAAAGTCTTGCCAGTGCCTTTGCAGGGCCAATTTTTTCACACAAACATCAGACAAGAATCAAAGCCCTTGGGGCCAGCCCCGTGGCCGAGTGGTTAAGTTCGCACGCTCTGCTTCAGCGATCCAGGGTTTTGCTGGTCCAGATCCTGGATGCGGACATGGCAGCACTCATCCCCACATGGCACAACTGGAAGGACCCACAACTAGAATATACAACTATGTACTGGGAGGATTTGGGGAGAAAGAGCAGGAAAAAAAAAGAGAAAAAGATTGGCAAAGTTGTTACCTCGGGTGCCAATCTTTAGGAAAAAAAGAGAATCAGAGCCCTCAAACAAGTACACTGGCTCTTAGAAACTTAAGTATATTTTAAACTGTGTAAAATATACCCAAGTCTACTTCCTCTCAATGTAATAATAGCTTAAATGATAAAATTCATTAATTTAGATTTTAAATTTTTTCCATAAGCTATTTCACCTAGTTCAGCAAATCCTAAACAAAGAAGTATGAGTGAACTACAGTGATATAGAAAGTGTCTAGTGAGCTACAGTAATATATTAAAATTTTAAAAACATGGCCACCATATTGGACAGTGCAGATATTGAACATTTCTGTCATCAAAGAAAAAATCTATTAATGCTATTCTCGAGTCTCTATTAATGGGAAATCATGTATAACTGAAACAATAACTTCTCCCAAGCCACTTGGATACCTGGTTGATTTCCAAAAATACCACTGGATTATCTAAAGACTATTATTTAGATATTTTAAAGCAGTCATATTCTATCATATAACACAGAAGTTAATTCATTTAGATGAAATCAGACAGCAGCAGCGCTCAGGATTAAAACTATCCACATGCTACGTTTGTTGGGGTACTTTTGGTAGATGAATAAATATGAACCTTAATAGCATGGTGGGGGTGTTGGAATGCAACAAGAGATTCTTTTGGCTTCACACCCTGATGACAAGCCCCTCCTAGTAACGGCTCACAACCTGGTTAATGCCTCTTGTTAAGACACCCTTTAAAGCTGGGCTCTGCTGAGTTAACATTTGCACATACCAGACAGGACGTTAACATGAGGTTTGGCAGATGACCCACTCTCACTCTTATATTAAAGGCTTAAGAGGTTTTGAAAATGTACAAGTCAAGGTGGGTTATGGATGACTCACTCTGTTCAATGCTAGCTAGAAGAGCCCTAGGCCATCTGTCAGATATCAGATCTGAGATGATATGGGAAATATTTTGGTCTGATTGTCCATTCTTATAGTGCTTATAATTTGTTCCAAAAATACACAGGTAAGAACAGGACATATATTTTTAAATAACTAAGTAAAGTTTTCAATTGCTTCCCTACCTACTAGAATCAGAACTTCCTTCACTATAATGAAATTTTAGTACAGGAAAAAAAGGCATTTGAAAAAAAGTAAAAAGTCAACTGGTAATAGTAGGATGAATGCTTCCCATTCACTGATGCTCTACAAGGAAAGATGAAGACGACAGTAATGGAAAGGTAACTTGACAACCTACTGTATACTGTGGGCAAGCAAGACAAGGCTCTTTCACATACTTTATTCCATTGATTCCTCACAACTTGAGAGATGGGTATCTTTATCCCATGTTACAAATGAGGAAAGCTAAACCCAAAAGATTAAACTATTTTCAAAATTCACATGGCTGGTAGGATACAGAATCTACTAAGCCAAGGCTTCTCGGAGGATGGTCCACAAATGGTTATTGGTTTGCGAAGATTTATTAGTCAGGAAGTGAGAATAATGGATCAGAAACTTTTATATCAATTTGACATGGCCATGAATTTTTATTGTATTTTACAAAAGTTTTGGTGCACCACAAACTAGAAATTTAATAATCCAGTCCCTCACCACAACAGTGTGAGAAGCCCTACCCTAGACTGTAAGCACTATGAGGGCAGGAACTTGGTGATGTTCATGGTAGAATCCTTGACACGTGTCCCACACAACATTTACTGAAAAAGCACACTGAAACTCAAACTGTATAGCATTTTTTGCCTCCATGAGCTTACCAATTAACTTGCAGATGCTTAAAATTTCCTTGGAGAGATCCTATTTCTATTTAAACATGTCTACCAAAAAATATGTCAAACAGGTACAATTTGCTCATCCTAGAGCTACGTTCTGAGTTTCCCAGAAAAGAGCAATTCAGCTTTTTCTTTTCCCCCTACAATTGCTTATACAATAGAGAGGATCAGGGCATAGCGGCAAATGTACATGGAGTTTATCTTGAAAAGTCATTTATCAAGCTTCTTGCTATTTATTTGCCAATGACAAAATGTCTGAAACTCAACAAATTTTTTGGGGAGACCAAATATTGCTATAATTTTTTTAATGAATTATGAAAGAGAACTTACCAATATAGTCAAGAGTTATATGAGAGACTATTCATGGGAAAATAATTTCTCAAAACAAATTAGCAATGTTAAGAAACTTTTTTGAAAATGTTTCTAAAGCTAGAGACATTTCATACAGGAATTAGGCCTCCCTGTGCCCACTGGACTAAGAATAAAGAACAATGGGATCATTTGGTGAATATGAAATATCCTTAAGGGTAACCCGTTTTCTATGTTCATATGTATCTATTAAAAGGAAAGCTATCTATTAAAAGGAAAAGCAGAGACATAAATGGGTATTTATGTCATAAACCTACCACTTCTCAACAATTAAGTTTAAGATGATGTTAATAATTACCATCTAAGTAAATTTTTACTTCAATTTCTTTTCTCATTGTTTCCTCTACTTTAACCTTCTCTTTTCTTAAGTCTTAATATCTTGCCAAAATATAATTGGAATAAAGTAACACTAAAAGCACTTTAATTGCCAATGCGTAATGAAACTTGTGAAAACTTGCAGGTACAAAGGAGTGCATGAGAAAAATGAATACGCAGTCAGACACATGTCATAATTGTTTCCCAACAGGTTCATTCAAGTTGACAAGCATAAAAAGTGAAAATAGAACTTTTAAAAAGTTAATTGTAAAATGTCTATTTTAAGTGTCTTCTGGCAGCTTGTTCAGATAGAAGAACGGTTTTGAACACCGATCATGACATTCTTTATACACTGTTAGTAGAAAATTCTACTGACAGGAGACATCTGCAAACGCCCAAGAAGAAACATCATTTTAAAAATTCTTTATTATGAAGATAGAAAGTTTGAAGACTTTGGAGATACAGATATAAAGGCTCTGTTTTTCAGAAATCATCTGGGTATTCTACACATACAAGAGATACGTACATTTCAGAAAACTTCTATATTCACATCTATGTGTGAATTAAAAAATATAACAACGTATTAGAAAGCACATATACGTATATCTATGTTAACTTAAGTACATTTAAGTTAATTATGCTGAAAACTTTTTGACATATGGAAAGAAGCAAAAGAGGATAGTTTTAGACTTGAAGAAAATATTAGCAGATACTTACAATATGCAAAAGTTTTAACACATCCACAAACCTGTAAAAAACAGCAATGAAAGAAATGTTTTAAATGAGCCAAGGAGGAGACAAATAGTCTTTCAAATTATAAACTAGATACCTACACTTTCTCTGAGCTCATGATCTCTTCGGCAATATGATGGACTTTACTTTTCATTCCAATATCTTCATCCTGTGATAAGAGTGCATTAAGAAAGCATGAACTCATAAAAGGATAATGAAGACCAGCTTTGAGCTAGTCACACATACATTCAAGCTCTGATACTTATAAGTTTCCGAATAGACCACATTTCGTACTGCATAACGTCTCAAATGGCAAACATGGAGAATTAGATGAGGTTATTAAAGCATGACACAGGTGGAGCGGAGAGCAAACTGTAGTCCTCACCATCATCAGTGCTAGATTGATGCACTGCCCTGAGGAGCTCCAGAGCCTTGATGGAGCACACCATCAACGGTTCAAAACTGAAAAGTCACATTCTGCAGGAGAAATGACCCCTACAGATGAACATGAGTTCTTGGGGCGCCCACAAGTAACTTGAGACTAGTGAATGTCCAACAGGAACATATAAGAGAACTCACCCTAAGTGAAGCCGCTCTACATCAGACAACTTAGGCGCCGTCTGAAGAGGACTCTTGTTCAGTCTAGACCAAACACATGCCACAGGCTCTCTCAATTTCCTTAAAATCCCTTTTAGAAATATGCTCTTATAGTCAAGGTAGTTTGATTCTAAAGAGCTGATATGAAGTTCTTTTAATAGGTACTGCTTTGTGTGAAAATTAAATGCCCTAGCAGGGACAAAAAATATACACATTTGCGGGGGGGAAGGGAAAGGGTGACTAGGAATGAAGTCACAAGATTTAGATTGCTGTAGTTGTTGTTTTCATTTAAATACTGATAGAGCTGGCTTTGAATCCAGGGCACTGGGGAAAAGGAGAAGAGTTCCTTTCCATTTCTATTCTGGTGAAAGATCTGAATACTACAGTTCCACAGGATAGGGCAACAGAGAGTAACCAAGGAACAAGCAATTACAACATTTTGGATATTACATCTAAGGTGAAAATAATGACTGCTGCCATTAAAAGGATAATGTGCTGAATGGGCCAGGCCTGGTAGGTAGTGGTTAAGTCCAGCATGTTCCTGTTAAGTGGCCCAGGTTTGGTTCCAGGGCATGGACATACACCGCTTTGTTAGTGGCCTACATACTAAAAAACAGAGGAATACTGGCACAGATGTTAGTTCAGGGCGAATCTTCCTCAGCAAAAAAAAAAAAAAAAAGAGACAGAAAGAAAGAAAGGATAATGTGCTGAAATGTCAGATCTGGTTTTAGAATGAAGCTTCTTTCCATTCAGACTGGCACTGGCAATACCAGGACCCAGTTAATTTGTGCCGCACAGAGTGCAGTTGGACAAGGCAATGTCACAATAAGAATAAGAAGTGACCAAGACAGTCCAGTAGTCAGTCACTAATGAAATAATACAGAAAAGAAATAATGGTAGTGACTTCTGTCCGAAGTAGTTTTCTTTTCTAAATTGAAATCCTGCATCCTCCTAGCAGGTCTGCTTATCTGAGCATCACCGTGATGGGTCAAAGGACTACCATATTTCTTAATTTGGAAAAAAACAGTTTTTACTGGCTTCTAGAATTTCAGTGTCAAAATCAAGGTATAAAAACAGATGTCATTTAACACTGAATGAAGCTCTTCCAAAAATTACATTTTAATAATTTTTTTTACAGTATGTCTACTTATGTTTTGTACATATATTAAAAACCTTTTATTCACTTAATTGGTGATGTAAAAGTGAGTAAACTGGGAGACAATTCCTTAAGGTTTCATAGCACGTTAAAATTTAGATATTTTGATTACAATAATTTTTTTAGAAAACAGTATTCATTTATTGAGCTCAGCCTTGTTTTTTTTTTTTTGTGAGGATGATTACCCCTGAGCTAACTGTTGCCAATCCTCCTCTTTTTGCTGAGGAAGACTGGCCCTGAGCTAACATCCGTGCCCATCTTCCTCTACTTTATATGTGAGACGCCTACCACAGCATGGCATGCCAAGCGGTGCCATGTCCGCACCCGGGATCCAAACTCGCAAACCCCGGGCTGCTGACGCAGAACATGCACACTTAACTGCTGTGCCACCAGGCCAGCCCAGATTACAATAATTTCTGTCCTCACAAGTCATCAGAGAAATATAGTAAATATACAGGAGAATTTTATTTTTAGATTTATTTTTTACTATATTCAGAACCATTGGATCATGAATAGGAGCTGGAGTCAAGGGACTGAATGAGATCAAACACAGGGAAGATATACATATATAAGACCTGGACCAAGAGCAGAGTCCCAAAGACAACCCACTTAAAACAGGGATTTGCCAGGATCCAAAGGGTGGTAATCAGCAGAGTTGGGAGGGGAACCCAGATTTCCAAATGTCTAACCTAGAGACTCTTCTATTATATCCCAAATCTCTCTTCAGTATCTGCTGGTAATCAGGACATATCCTTACAAACATTCACTGCTAAACATACACCCAAATACATCTCCCCTCCCCTCAAGATTCAACAAATCCAAACATTCTGCAATGTTTGGTCTAATTCTTCTGTGAAACAAATTATTATATATAATATTGAAGTTCCCCTCCTCTTCCAGGAGTAAACACAAATTTTGCAGTTTGTGTGCATTTGTCCCTTCCATGTTTTCATATTTTACTACAGAAGAATTTACATACAATACCAAGAAATCTTATCCCAGCAGAATATAGATATTGTTACACAAAAAAATTCAAAGCAGGTTATGAAAGCAAAAACTATTCAAAGTAGGCTATGAAACCAACTAATTATGAAAGCAATCTTTAAAGAGCAATCAATTAATTCAGAATGCATAACAACTAAGAGTGTCCAAGCTAATTAGCCTAGAATATTTTGCCTTGCTACTTGACCTTAGCTCCCAAACTCTATCTTTAAAGGGACAATCAGATAGATGAATTTGAGTTCTACCCCTATTACTATTCATCTCTTCTAAGGCAGTTGTTGAGTGATTGTTAGATTGCTAGAATGACTGAACAGGTTAGATAAGTTTTGTTCAGCTGACAAGATGGAGCATAAAATACTCACTTCCATGTACTCACCTTTTAAACAACACATAGCCAACATTCCTTAACCACAATCTGATCTTGCAGACCATGTGTTAGTCGTGCACTAATAACCATGACTGTGTACACGTTCACGTACACACATACACACAGTTGGACAACTGTTATTTTGAAAAACATTGTAGCAAATCAATGCTTTTCTAACCATTAAATAGGTTTTCCTATGTCATCTGTAGCTAGAAAACAATATTTGTAAAACACAGTAGATCTTTTTAAAATTAGAAATTCAGAAGAAATGCATTGAGAGTAAGAAACAGAAACCTGGGGCTGGCCTGGTGGCGCAGCAGTTAAGTTCACACATTTCGCTTCTCAGTGGCGCGGGGTTCGCCGGTTCGGATCCTGGGTGCGGACATGGCACAGCTTGGCAAAAAGCCACGCTGTGGCAGGCATCCCACATATAAAGTAGAGGAAGATGGGCATGGATGTTAGCTCAGCGCCAGTCTTCCTCAGCAAAAAAGAGGAGGATTGGCAGTAGTTAGCTCAGGGCTAAGCTTCCTCAAAAAAAAAAGAAAAGAAAGAAACAGAAACCTAAAGCATTGAAAGAACAGAGGCCTTGACTCGCCATGCTCCATTTTCAGGTGACATGAGGTCTCTTAAAGGTCAAGAGGTGGTCTCAGCAGTAGCTGTAAAGAAACCCAGGGCACTGCAGCTGCTGCAGCACTTGATTAGCAGAACCACCTACAATGTATACCAGCTTTACACAAAAACTTCAAGTAGGTGTACTTTTTGGCATTTACCTTTTATTTCTTTTCCTCTTTTGAGCACTCTCCCTCTGTTAAGTCTCTACTCTTTTTTTTCCCCCCTCTTCAGGACCTTGCTCTGCCAGGGCCCGGGTTACAGACAATTCTGCAGAGTGATTCCATAACAAATATGTTATTCCTAGACAGACATCATGCTTCCATTACAGCAGAGAACAAAACACTTCAACTTGTAAGAACAACTATGGTGGGTCTGACATTCCTCATCTGTAAAATGAGTGTTGGACTTTCAACTTTAAAACCCTAAGATTTAAACATTAAATATCTCAGATCTTAGGTGTGGTGCAGCAAGTCAATGAGACAGAAGATGGCAGCCATTCACAGAGGCAGCACTGGGGTTGGCAACTATGAAGCATTTGTCTCTTTTCTAGAAACTGAGACTGTAAACTTTGGGAAATGGTGGGTACTGGTATAAAGCCAGACATGTGGCTCAACGGGAAAAAACTGAGAATCAGAAGTAAACCCTTAAATTTATGGTCAATGGATTTTTGACAAAGTTGTCAAGGTAATTCAATGGGAGAAAAGATAGTTTTTTTAAAGAAATGGTTGAAAATTGCTGGAATAACTGGATATCCACAAGCAAAAAGATGAATTTATATTCTACCTGACATCATAGACAAAAATTAAATAAAAATTTATCATAGACTTAAATGGAAGAACTAAAACTCTAAAGCTTCTAGAAGAAAATCTTCATGACCATGCTTTAGGCTAACAGTTTTTAGATACAACACCAAAAGCATGATCCATACAAGAAAAAATATCAATAAACTGAACTTCATAAATTTAAAACTTTTATGCTTCAAAAGACACCATAAAGAAAAGCCACAGGAGGGGATAAATATTTGCAAATCATGACTCTGATCCAGAATACATAAAGAATTCTTATAATTCAATAAAACTCAGTTAAAAATGGATAAAAGATGTGAATAGACATTTCACTAAAGAAGATATAAGAATGGCCAATAAGTATATGAAAAGATGCTCAACATAATTAGTCATTAGGGAAATGCAAGTTAAAACCATAATGAGATACCACTCCATACTCACAGAATGGTGATAACCAAAAATCAGAAAATAGCAAGTGCTGGTGAGCATAAGGAGGAACTGGAACCTTTATATATCGCTGGTGGGAATGGGAGCCCTTATTTATACATTGTGATTTGGAGTTTTAGAGGGCTCCTAATATCACCAATAGCAGAATTTGTATTTTGTATCCTCCTAGCTATTCTGAGACCATTTCCAAGAGGAAGGAGTCA